GTACCGGAGATTGAACTCAGGTCCTTGCGCTTGTGCAGCAGGCGGCGGAACCACTGAGCTAAATCCCTGACCCTTTATTCTTATTCTTATTCCATTTTTCCTTTACTCAGCTCAACTCTCCACCCATATAATTTGTTGGCACCAGTGTTCTTCAAGCATGCTAGCCATATCCCCTTCTCCAGGACCCTCATTCCTGTGTCTTCAAGGATTAGTCCCTAGAAATGTACAACACTTTCTCCCTCATCCTTTTTCAACCTTTGCTTAGAAAAGCACCTTTATATTAAGTCTTTTCTATCACATCTTGTTTGATACTATCCCCACACATACTCCTTTACAATTTTACCTACATTATTTTTTAATACAATATCTTCCATATACTAACAAACTCCATCGTTGTCTCATATTGCTTTGTATTATTTTATGTATCCTTCCAATACAAAGCAAACACCCCAAGGAGAAGGATTTTTATCTGTTTTATTGCTTGTTTTATCTGGAACATGTAGAATAGAGCTCAGCACCAGGTAGTATCTTTAAAATATTTGTATAAAACTTTCTAAGCTTTGGTAACTAAAAGTTAATGATATATGTTATATGTCAATAGGTAATGTAAAGCATCTAATATTTTAAGGTGTTTGGCACATATAAATCACTCAAATGATAACTACTATAATTATTAGAAATCAAACATCTCTATAATATTTTAACAGAAATGCTTATTATATGTCATTTAATGGATTAATGAAAATAACATGCACAATCCATTATATTATTCCTTTAATATATTATGTAGTTTTTCCCTATGGATATGTAATCAGAATTGCATTGCTTGTCTCAAGCAAACCAAATATGAATGAATCCTGGATATAATCACATAAAATATTGATGTCTGTGTTAGCAATGTTCTTTTTAAACATTTTCTAAGTCTCAGCTCTAAGAGCTCTCATCAGTATTCCAATTGTTCATTAAAGACACTTAATAATCTCAAACTAGCTGAACAGTCTCCACTGAGCAGTCTAATTGGCAGCCCTGAGGGGCAGTACAGGAACTTACAAGAGTCGGGAAGACTTGTAGCATGGGCTGGGTTACTGATTTTAGGAAAACTGCTGCAGTGCTATCCATCAGCACTATGAATAAGTATTGAGAACGGAAGCACATAATTGGAGGTAGATGGGTAACACATCTAAGGAAAGCAGAGATTCTGAGTTTGAGCTTTCCTAGAAGAATTTTAAAATAATGTACTATTGTGACATAATTCTAACTGAATATATATAT